GTTCCAGGGGGGGCACACACACACTGTGCCCCATCTGTGCCTCTGTTTCCCTCACCTGAGACCCCATAGGGATGGACAGGGACGCCCCAAAGCCCCCAACAAGCACCTTTGTGCCTCAGTTTCCCCTCCTGTGGTTCCAGGGGGGGCACACGCTGTGCCCCAGCCCCATCCATGCCTCAGTTTCCCTCACCTGAGACCCCACAGGGATGGACAGGGACGCCCCCAAAGCACCCCAAAGCACCCTTGTGCCTCAGTTTCCCCCTCTGTGGTTCCAGGGGGGGCACACACGCTGTGCCCCAGCCCCAGCCACCCTAAAACCACTCTCAACCCCATCTGTGCCTCAGTTTCCCTCACCTGAGACCCCATAGTGATGCCCCCAAAGCACCCCAAAGCACCCTTGTGCCTCAGTTTCCCCCCCTGTGGCTCCATGGGGGGCACACACACTGCCCCAGCCCCGTCCGTGCCTCAGTTTCCCCCTCCCGGTGCCGTACCCCGGTCTGGGCCATGCCGAAGGGGCCGGGGTTCATGCCGAGGAAGAGGACGCGTTTCGGGGTGCGGCAGTAGCGGCGCACGAAGTCGCAGTGGGGCTCCCAGGCGTAGTCCAGGGGCCGGTAGACGTGGCTGACGGGGTCCCCGAAGGGGGGCAGCGCCCGCAGCAGCGCCTCCTGCTCCCGCTCCAGCCGCAGGAACCGCCCCGCCAGGTCACCTTCATCTTCATCATCCTCCTCCTCATCTTCTTCTTCTTCCTCCTCTGCCACCGGCACCGGCTCCGCCACCGGCTCTGTCACCGTCCCCTCCATCCTGCCATCGCCTGGTGTCTGCGGAGGGGAGGGAGGGGTGACAGGGCCAGCCCCCACGGGGGTGACAGGGTCACAGCCCTCAGTGGGGTGACACAGCACCCCCAGAAGGTGAAACGTCCACACCTGGGGGTGACAGGGCCAGCCCCTGGGGAGCGACAGGACTGGCCCCCGGTGGGGTGACAGGGCACCCCCAGAGGGTGATAGGGCCAGCCCCAAGGGGGGTGACAGAGCACCCCCAAGGTGGGGTGACAGAAGACCCCCAGAGAGTGACACTGACAGCCCCTGGGGGTGACAGATCCAGCCCCAAGGGGGGGTGACAGGGCCAGCCTCAATGGGGGGTGACAGAGGACCCCCAGAGGGTGACAGGGCCAGCCCCCAGGGTGGGTAACAGGGCAGCCCCTGGGAGGGTGACAAGGACAGCCCCTGGGAGGGTGACAGTGCACCCCCAGAGGGTGACAGGGCCAGCCCAAGGTGGGGGGTGACAGAGAACACCCAGAGGGTGACAGGGACAGCCCCTGGGGGTGACAGAGACAGCCCCAGAGGGTGACAGGGTCACAGCCCTCAGTGGGGTGACACAGCACCCCCAGAAGGTGAAAGGTCCACACCTGGGGGTGACAGAGCCAGCCCCAAGGGGGTGACAGGGCACCCCCAGATGGTGACAGAGCCAGCCCCAAGGGGGGATGACAGAGGACCCCCAGAGAGTGACAGGGCACCCCCAGAGGGTGACAGGACTGGCCCCTGGGAGGTGACAAGGCCAGCCCCTGGTGGGGGTGACAGAGGACCCCCAGAGGGTGACAGGGCCAGCCCCAAAGCGGGGTGACAGAGGACCCCCAGAGGGTGACAGGACTGGCCTCTGGAGGGTGACAGGGCCAGCCCCAAGGGGGGGTGAAAGTGCACCCCCAGAGGGTGACAGGGCCAGCCCCAAGGAGGGGTGACAGGACTGGCCCCTGGGAGGGTGACAAGGCCAACCCCCAGGGGGGTGACAGGGCACTCCCAGAGGGTGACAGGGGCCACCCCCAAGTGGGTGACAGGGCCAGCTCCCGGTGAGGTGACAGAGGACCCCCAGAGGGTGACAGGGCCAGCCACAAGGGGGGGTGACAGGGCACCCCCAGAGGGTGACACGACTGGCCCCTGGGAGGGTGACAAGGACAGCCCCAGAAGGTGACAGATCCAGCCCCAAGGGGGGTGACACAGCACCCCCAGAAGCTGAAAGGTCCAGCCCCAAGGGGGGGTGACAGAGGACCCCCAGAGGGTGACGGTGACAGCCCCAAGGGGGGGTGACAGAGGACCCCCAGAGAGTGACAGGGCCAGCCCCAGAGGGTGACAGGACTGGCCCCCAGTGAGGTGACAAGGCCAGCCCCCGGTGGGGTGACAGGGCACCCCCAGAGGGTGACAGGGGCCGCCCCCAAGTGGGTGACAGGGCCAGCTCCTGGTGAGGTGACAGAGGACCCCCAGAGGGTGACAGGGCAGCCCCCGGTGGGGTGACAAGGCATCCCCAGAGGGTGACAGGGCCAGCCCCAAGGGGGGGTGACAGGACTGGCCCCTGGGAGGGTGACAAGGACAGCCCCCGGGGGGGTGACAAGGCCAGCCCCAGAAGGTGACAGGGCCAGCCCCTGGGGGTGACAGATCCAGCCCC